GCAAGCAGCAGTCTTGATGCTGGTGGTCACGGAAGGATGTGCAGAGTGAGGTGGGAGCAGAGAGGAGGATAGGGGTGTCTGGAGAGGCTCCCTGGAGGAAGGATGTCCGAGCTGAGAACAGGACGGGGAGGGTACTCCAGACAGAAGCACTGACATCAGGTTGTGAACGGCCTTGAATGTCATGCTTAGAAGTTCGGGTTGTTCGGCATGGGACACTGGAGTAAACGGAATGGCCAGAGATGACCAGCAGGGACAGAGATGCCCGACTGTCCCCAGAGCAGAGGGGGTCACCATCAGCCCATCTGTAGCCCATCCCTGACCCAGCAGCACCCGAGGTAGGGACCTCGGTTGGAGACGATGGGAAGTCCCTGAGTTTGCAGGAGAAAGGCCTTTAATAAAGTGCAAATGCTGCAGGGAGAAGGCACATTGACAAGAGCAGTGGCACCAGCTAATGTTTACTGAGCACTGCTATGTGCTAGCTGCTTTTCTATGTGCTTTATATATTTTAACTTCATTCTTACAACTGGTGAGATAAGGGTTATTCTTGTACCTCTTTCACAGAAGGGGAAACTGAGGTACAAAATAGGTGAAGTGCCCAGGCTTACCCAGCTGGGAGAAGCCGCGCTAGGACAGAGGCAGAGCAGAGCGCTGGGGCTCCCAAACCCCAGTTTCCACCACTGGGATATATTGTCTCGCCCGCTCTCACACACCCAGCAATCCCTGCAGGCTCATTATTAAAGAGCCTTCTTAGATAAGCCCCCTGGGCTTGAGTGGGAGGAAGGAAGGCAGGGCACAGAGAGAGGAAGGTGGCAATCTGCCAACACAGTTGGGCAGCTTCCCAGGAGAAGCTAGTGGAGTGGAAAGGGGACTGGAGAGCAAGAGGACAGGAACAGCCTCCTCCACCCCCATTCCAATTTCATGGGGTTTTCACAACACTGGCCGGGCACTTGAGTCACAGTCCGATACCCCATTACAAATGGGGGACTGAGTTCCAGAGAGGGGGTGTGGCTTCCAGGGGTGGCCTAGAGCCAGACCAGAGGCAGGAGTGAGGACACTCCCATGCACTGGAGCCACAAGAGGCAAGATCCTGGGTCCTCGATCCCACTTGTGTCTCCAGCTCTGTCTCGGTACTGGCACCCCCATTCACCCCAATTCTTGGTGTCTCTTCAGTGTCTCCCTCACCCTTTCCCCGGCGTCACCGTGTCCTGTACCTTCCGAATAACTGACATCTGCCACCTCTCTTTCCCCACAACGTCTGCCTTCGTCCAAGCCATCAGTTTCTCCTCTGGTTACATCAGCAGCCTCCTAACTGACCTACTGCCTCAGGCTCCCCACACAGACCCAGTCTCCTCTCCGTGTGCAGAGCGACCCTGCTTGAAGCCACCTGATCCTCTCACTCCCTTGTTGAAACACCGCCCTCCCTTACCAGGCCCACAGGGCCCACCCTAGCCTGACCTGCCCCCCCCCCAAAAAATAACCTTTCAGCTGCACCTCCATTGTCCCCCAGCCACACTGGGTGACCCACCATTTTCCTGAAAGCTGAATTTTACCAGCCAGTGGTTGAACACAATGAAATTACATGAAACATTAAATTAAAGCTCATGTAAATTAAATTATATACACTGACCATTAATCAATTATAGCAACAACAAAGGTAATAAATGCTCATAATTCATTACTTTCTAATTAGCTTACTGGATTTTACTATTATTTATATCTTAAGCGTATCTATAGCTATTGTATGTATCTGGTGCAAATCTTGTGGAACGGTGTGCTGCTTACACACATCTCATACAGACGGCGTTCAGTGACTTACATTGGCAACATGCAATCAGCCATGATGGGAGTAGCTACGCTACAGATCATCAAACACTGCAAATCAGAGACTGACCTATTGTTTTGTTGCTCACCTAGACCAGGGATCAACAAACTACAAGCCAAATCTGGCCCACCACCAGTTTTTAATAAAGATTTATTGGAACACAGCCACACTCATTCATTTGCTTACTGTTCTGAGGCATTTTGTACTACAATAGCAGAGCTGAGCAGTTGCAGTGAAGGCTGCCTGGCCCCCAAAGCCTAAAATGTTTACTATTTGGCCCTTCAGGGGAAGCTGGCACACTCTCAGGGAGCTACGCATGCACCTGGAAGAGGAGTGACAGAGACTGGAGGATCTGGTGAAAGCGGGAGGGAGGAGCGGTGGGCCCAGCTGCTGCCCCCGCCAACAGGGTGAGCTGGCAAGTTAGGGTCTCCGTGAGTGAGCTGCAACTGCTCCTGGCGGCCCTGCGCCCACCTTCCTAGCGGAAAAGGATACAGCTCCTGTTTCATGCCCACTCTCCAAATCTTGCACAAAATGTCACCTGTGGCCCACGCTAAGTCAGGACCGCAGGGAAGAGAATTCTGGGAAACATAGTTTCAGTTGAGCGAAAAGGACACTGCAAATTCCCTGCAGCTCCAGATGTTAACTTGAATATTATACCCATGGAGACCAATTAGCATCCAAGACTGTTAGCGATTGAAGTCCACACTCCGGAGGCCCTCAGACTTGTGCTGTGGTTATTCCGCCCGTCCCAGAATTTATTGGGAGATGAGTGCTCAGTAGCTGGCAGAATCCTCCCCAACTGGAAATCCCTGCAATTGTCCTCCCACACCTGCCAAGTTACAAACCAAAAGCAATACCAGAACCCTGTAGAAACTGCAGAAGTGAGTGCCTCCATCCAGGATGTGAGCGATGCAAGGGTAGCGATTCCAGCCACATATCCTTGTAACTCACCTTTTTGCAGGCGAAAAAGGAAACTTAATGATGTGCTGAGGCCAATCACAGCCACAATTCTTGGTTTGATATCTTTACTGGAGAAAATCAATAGAAACCCCAGCGCCTGGTGTGCGGCTATTGAACTCACGTTTTCTCTTACAGGCCCATGAGTATGGGAAGTTACACTCCGTTTGCATTTACATGTCTTTACTGCCTTGCCCCGGGTTTTGAAATTCTTCTGCAAACTGCAAGGTCCAGAGTCATGATCGTCTTAACAACACAGAGAACACTATGCTGATACATTCAATTGATGCCATGATGCTAACTGAACTCTGTGAGCAGGAAACAGCAAGCATCGTAGGTGCCTTAGACATATGTGTGCCAAAGTCAGAGGTGAACCCTGTGGAAGTTCAAGGGCCTGCCATATCAGGAAAGTTTCTAGGGGACCAGATTCTTGGGAATGTCAGATATCTTCGTGGTTTTTTTTTTTTTTTAAATTGTTATTGTTTCAGAGAGGAAGGGAGAGGGAAAGAGAGAAATAGAAACATCAATGATGAGAGAGGATCATCAATCAGCTGCCTCCTGCACAGCCCACACTGGGGATCAAACCCGCAGCCCGGGGCACATGCCTTGACTGGGAATTGAACCGTGACCTCCTGGTTCATGGGTCGATGCTCAACCACTGAGCCATGCTAGCTGGGTTGTCAGATATCTTCTAATGTGAGAGACAAGATCCTGTCCCCTATACCATACACCATAAATAGGAGCAATGCATGGTATGTCTTTTGGGTTTCGGAGCCAACATATATCACCTTTAGACAAGGTGCTTTGACTCATTTACTAGGTAGCATATAAATCTGACTATGTTAGCTCTGGGTCTAAAAAAAAGGCTCTTCAACAGTCCAAGCTGTGATACAAGCTGCCCTATACGTGGGCATTCTGCCTGGTAGATCCACGTGCCTGACTTAGGTGTCAGCCAAAGATGCCATGTGGTGCCTCTGGCAAGTCCCAAGAGGAGTGTCACAGCTATGACCCGAGGAGTCGTGGCCTTGCCAGCCTCTGCCAACGATTCTTCTACATTCTGGAAAGCAGCTTCAGGCTTGTGACTGAACCTTGATAAGGACCGAATGCCTGATTTATGGACACCAAGTGATTATCAGACCCAAATGTTCCTCATGAAGGAGCATTCTCTGAGCCACGGAATCATGAGCTTGGATTTGCACAGTTGCATCTCACTGGAAACTGGAGTGGTGTATGCATTGCTGGGCCCAAGCACATCCAGAAGGCACAATGGACCACCAAAGCGGGTGCTGGGAGTCCCCATGGCATTTGTTTCTATGGCTTCACCTCCTCTCCCTTAGTTTACACTCAATAGCTTCAAGGGGAAGAGGCGAAAGGACAGGCCTGATTTATGGAAGGCTTTGCACAGTAAACCAGTGCCAGCCAGCGTGTACAGCTTCTGTGTGCAGCCTATTTCGAGGGGTCCCTGAAAGATGGTGGTGAAGGAAAGAAAAATCCTCCCCGTGGGCAGAATATCAGGCAGCACGTGTGTTACCCACTTGGTGCGGAAGGAAGGGTGGCCTGTGGTGCAGACCGATAGGAACTCATGAGCAATATCTAATGGACTGGCGATTTGCAGAGACTTGGAAAGAACACAGCTGGGAGCTTGATGCCATGATAGTCTAGGAGAGAGGCCTGTGGCTTCTTAGAATGTAGCACGGAAGACATTCATGTCCCGTGTAAATGCCCATCAGGAAGCAATCGGCGGAGGAGTCCTTACTAGATAAGATGGCCCAGCCTATAGATTCGATCAGTCTCTTTCCCCAAGAAAATTGGTGCTTTCTCTGTGAACCCATGGGAAGGGCAAAACCACAAGGTTTCTGTAGGTGATAGGAGGCTTCTCTGCTCTTTGTCCAGCTTTGCCATTGACCTGATGGCTCACGTTGGACCATTCCCTTCCCTTTTCTTGACCTTGGTTTCCTAATTTTACAATGAAGGGTTTAGACGCAACGATCTCTGATTCTGAACTATATAGCCCAGCAGGAGACATTGGAAAATGAGGCCTGGGAGGGGGCCTGCTGGTGACATCATAGAGGGGAGAATTCTGTGAGAAGAGTCGGGCTTTCCTGGAAACCCCATTGTCACAGGTTAGGTGAGAAGGACAAGCCAGGTAGGATCCTGCCAGGCCTATGTCTTGAGCTCTTCTTGTTCAAGGGTTCCCAGCATAGTTATTGATTAACCTTCGATGGCAGCAAAGGCTCAAAATGAGACAGACACCAGTGACTTGGATGTGCCCTCTCACCCCGGCTCATCAACCACGCACCACAGACCAGGTCATAGTGGAGCCAATCACCATCGTAGGCCCCATGATCACCATCGCCATGGTGTGTCCCATCATCACGGTGGATCTCACCTAGACTCCCCTGACAGTGCCTTCTCCCGCCACTCCCCCAACCCCTCCACAACCTTGGCCTCCACTGGGTCTCATGGCACTGTCCTCTCCCACCAAACCAATGAGAAGGTACCCATTCGCGATGAGCACCACCGTGGTGGCAGGAGACATCATGGTAGGCCCCCCCACGTTAGTGAGTTTCGCCATCATGGTGGGCTCCATCACGAAGGTGAGCCTTCCCATTCTAAAGATGGTGCGTCCTCCGGGTCCCATCACTCTTATGCTTACGACCACAGCAAGCGCCGTCGTCATGTAACCCACCACCACAGAAGGCCTCTTCATCATGGAGAGAGCTCTTCCCACCATGGCATATCTCGCGACCCCAGTGAGCACCACCATGGCCACCGTGGCCATCCTGGTGAGCACCACCGCAGAGAGCACCGCCATGGGGAGTATCCTAGTTTCAGTTCCAGAGACTTGCACACAGGCTTCAGCGTCGCCAGAGTCAGCTCAATCTTTCAACCTACCACGGCACACAAGCAGAGCACGGCCATTAGCTTGACGCGTTCCCGCAGTGCAGTTCGCTCACGTGCCTCCAAGAGCTCCAGAGTCCATCCTCTGGAATCCTTATCTAGAATCTCAGAAAGCTGGCCTGAAGATGAGCCAGTTCAGATGCAAAAAAGTGAGTCTTTGCCCACCCCCCACCACCACCACCACTCCGGTTCCAACTCCCACTGCCTGGCCCAGGTTGCAGATCTGACTCAGGCCCGGCACCAGCCTTGCACAGATCACGAGGCTTGACTCTCGCCTGGAAGGAACTTTTCATTGGCTATTCACTCAACTGACTGTTCATCAGCCCATCTTTTCTTTGTAGAATCAGGCACCTCTTCAGGCCGCCGGTGGTTTGTTCACTCAGTCACTGCTTTCTTCACTTGCACGTTCACTTGCCCAACATTTCCTCTTCTCTAACATGGGCACCTGGGCTACTCGGGCCCTGGCAGCACAAGGAAGACCAGCCCTCAAGGGGCTCCAAGGCTGGGGGTGGTTACAACCAACCAACCCAGATCATCCAGTGATGGAGGCCTATCCTTCATGTCAGAACATTTGTGGTTTCTATTTGTCCATATTTCCCATGCTAAGCCATGAGGGAAATGACCTCTTCTTGAGGTCAGAGTCTGGGGAGCAGTGCCTGAATGAGGGCCATTTGAGGGCAGGGGGGACCTTGGCTGTTAATGCACAACCCCCCCCCCCCAAACTTGGCCCCTAGTAGCTCAGCAAACATGGCAACAGCCCCACAGACAAGCAGAGTGGAATGAATGTCTAATGGAGGGGGTAAGGAAAGTAGCCCAGAGAAGATGTTTCAGCAGAATCTTAAAGGGAAGGGGAGAATTTACCAAGAGGATGGGGTGGCGTCGAGGATCGGGCTTTCCACACCTAAGTTGCCATGTGAGTAAAGAAAGGCATGGGGGTGTGGGAACATGAGCCCTCAAAGCATGTTCCAGCAGACCCCAAATCCCCCACAGGGGGCCCCTACCATGGGAGGAGTTGGGCCTGTGGCCCAGTATCAGTTCATAGAGGCCCCTTCGTGAGTGGAAGGCAGGCAAGCAGGCAGGCATGAAGAATCCCAGCCCGGCTGACAGGAGGCCTGGCATCCCCGAGCCCCTCCTCACAGACTTGACTTTCTGGCCCCCTTATAGCCAACAAAACCTCGCGGGGCCACAAGAAGGCGCACAGTGAGAACATCTGCAGTAAGCTGTTCGGAAACTTTTGCTCCCTCTTTTACGGCCTCCGGAAAATGCTCAGTGTCCTGACCCAGTCCCTGTTCTTTGACGCCTTCATCTTCATCGTTGTCTGCCTCAACATCATCATGCTTGTGGCCCAGACCTTCGCTAAGGTTGAGGTCCGGGGCGGTAAGACCCGGGGAACCCCGTTCATGTGGAGACGATGTTTCAGACCTGCTGTTGGCTTGGCCCAGTGCCCACTGATTTTATTTTTTTAAACACTTTTTAAAAAATTTATTTTTATTGATTTCAGAGAAGAAGGGAGAGGGAGAGAGAGATAGAAACACCAATGATGAGAGAGAATCATTGATGGGCTGCCTCCCGCACATCCCCTACTGGTGGGGAGCCCGCAACCCAGGCATGTGCCCTTGACAGGAATCGAACCTGGGACCCTTCAGTCCACAGGCCAACGCTCTGTCCACAGAGCCAAACGAGCCAGGGCTGCCCACTGATTTTATATAAATTAGTAAAGAGGCTCAGAGAGAGAGAGCTGAGGTCAGCTAGGCAGCCGGGGACAGAAAGGCCAGCTAAACCAGAGGATGTGCTGTTTGTGGCTATTACCACTAGAGGGCGTGTTTGCTCTAAATATGCTTTGCTGGGCAGCGTGGTGGGAACCCAGGTGGGCTAGAAGGGCCAGAAGATTCTGAGGAGACCCAGGAGGGGTGAGAGTGGAAAACCTGAGAAGGCAGCCCTTAAAACCCTGGGGAGCAGGGCGAAGGAAAGCGCAAAAACGAAAGAGAGAAGTAAATGGCTGAGGTTACTTGCATGGTCACTGGGTTGGCTCCATTTTAAGCATTTTACTGTGTTAAATGCCTTTCATGCTCATGAAAAGTATCAGGCAGGCTGTTGTTATCGCCATTTTACAGACAGGAAAACTGAGGCACAGAGCAGTTAACACACACAGCTATTGGGGCAGAGTCAGGCTCTCCCTAAAGGGCTGTGTGTAAGGTTCCCGTGGGGAGGAGGAGAGAGGGGCCAGGGCTGCTGGCGATGAGCCTGAGCAAGCCCCTGGCGTCCCCACAGCATGGTACTTCATGGCCTTTGACTCCATCTTCCTCTCCATCTACGTGGTGGAAGCTTTGCTCAAGATCATTAGTATGGGCCTCGACTATTTTTATGATTCCTGGAACATTCTGGGTGTGTAGAAATGGGGTGTGTGTGTGTGTGTGTGTGTGCGCGCCACGGAACTGCCTAGGAGAGGCTGAAAACAAAAGGGCTGGGCAGGGGGTGGCGGTGTGGGAGGGCTGTGGGTCTGGGCTAGGGCCCTGGGCAGGAGCCTGTGACACTCAGGCACGCTGTGCCTTCAGACTTCTTCATCGTGGCCACGGCTGTGCTGGAGTTCACACTCGTGCAGTTCAACTCCCGCTCCTTGCAGCGCACCGTCTACAACCCCAACTTCTTCAGGATCTTCAAGGTCTTCAGGAGCCTGCGGGCCCTGAGGGCCGTTCGGGTGCTGAAGAGGCTCAGGTGAGCTGGGCCACAGCTGCCCTCCCTGGAAGAGGGGACAGAGGCCTGGACTCCTGGGGGGGCGGGGTGCTGTGACCTGTTGCAGGGATGGGGGGACGGGGCTGCAGACTCCAGCCTGCTTCTGGCAAGCCTCCTGCGGGTCCGTTCTCTTCACTTTCCAGAGAGGGGCTGGGACTCTCCCAAGTCACCAGCAAGTCAGGGACTCCTGTGTTCACTGTCAGCTCTGGCTCCCGGGCACAGAGCCCCACCTCCACCGACTCAGCCTCCCTGTCCACCTCTGCCCACAGCTTCCTGACCAGCCTCCAGGAAGTGACCGGGACCCTGGTGCGGTCCATGCCATCCATCACGGCCATCCTCGTCCTCATGTTCACCTGCCTCCGTATCCTGAGCTGTGGGGCTGGGGTGGAAGATGGCGGTAGGACCCCGGGCCGGGGGGCGGGGTAACGTAGGCCCCGCGAGCCTGGTTCGGCCCTGAGCCCCCAGTCCTCTTCTCGGTGGTGCTTCGGGGACTGTTCCGCCAATCTGACCCCAAGCGTTTCCAGAACATCTTCACCACCATCTTCACCCTCTTCACCTTGCTGACCCTGGACGACTGGTCCCAAATCTACGTGGACAGCCGGGCCAACGGTGGGGCAGCCCCAGGCTGGATGGTGGGCAGGAGGCTGGCTGGGTGGGCAGACCCTGAGGGCTGGTTACCCCACCTCCAAAGTGGGGCGTTCGATGCTTGCTGGGCAATGCTGTTGAGGGCCGGCAAGAAACTCACGGTTCCAACTGCCCGCTGTCTCCCAGGCGCCTGGTACATCATCCCCATTCTCATGATTTACATCATCATCCAGTACTTCATCTTCCTCAAGTGAGGGTGCCGCCCCTGCTCCGCTCCCCGGCTTCCCCCCTTCCCCCCTCCCCCCCGGGGGAGCCCCTCCCCAGCCCCCTCACCCAGAGAAGGGTGCTGCCTCTCCTCCAGCCTCCTCCAGAGTACCCCACTGTCCCCCCTCCAGTCTGGTGATTGCTGTCCTGGTAGATAATTTCCAGATGGCACTGCTCAGAGGCCTGGAGAAAGTGAAGCAGGAGGTATGGAGGGGATGGCGAGGGATCCGTCAGAGAGACGCAAGGAGAAGGCACGGAGGGAGGAGGCTGCTCCAGGGCCCTGGCAGGACCGAGCCTCCTCTTCCCAGAGGGCCGCCCAGATCCAGGAGAAGCTGCTGGCTGAATCGCTGACGAAGCTCAACGAAGCAGGTATCGGCCCTCCCCTCCCGCAGTCAGGCCCGGGATTCCAGGCTGGGCTTCGAGTTTTAGAATCTGAGACTCAGGAGAACGTTCGGAGCTTAGAACTTTGGTCGAAAGAGCACCGAGACCACCCTCCAAAAGCCAACTAAACTGAGAGTCAATTCTTGAAAGACCCGTTGGTGAAATGGCTTGATTAGCCAAATGATGATTTACCACTCGTTTCTGTTAATAACTTAAGTTTATAGCAGTGGTTTTACATGCATTGGTTTCAGCTGCCTGAGGGCTTTGTCAAGGTCAGATACACACTTGTCCAGGGTCACTGTGTGTAGCAATTTTGTTTAGAATCTGAGCTCCAGGACCCCACTCTGAAGATCATTAACAGCAGAGGAATAAGGGTCCTCAGGGGTCACCTGGTCCTTCATCTGCCCACTCCATCAGGGACAGACACTCAATGAAAAAGAGATCAAGCAGAAAGAAAAGTTAATTGGTTCAGATTGTTTAGCAAACGGCGAGCGCAGGGGCTTTTAGGCGCGGCTGGGTCCGGGCCTTGAATGGCCAGCAGGATTTGGTCCCTCCATCTCTCCGCTCTTCAGCCCGCTGCACGGTTTTGTGCTTAGAGCGGCCGCTACCTCGTGGTGGGAAAATGGCCACGTGCAACTCCGATCTCAAACCCTCAGCTTAGCCATGTCTGCACTCCCAGGGGAGCCCTCTTCTCCGGAAGCTCCAGCAACGTCCAGAAGTGATCATCTTTTGCTCCAGTTGATCACCTGCATATTTCTGATCCAATCCCTGTAGCCGGAAGGGCAGGCTGATCTGATGGGTCAGGCCTGAGTCTAACCAACAAGCTTGCTACACACTCCACGCCTGGAGAAGTGGTTTCTGCGAGGGCATCCTGGGCAAAAACTTGTTAGCCCTGTTTGAAAACCTCCCTGACACACGGGGCTCCCTCCGCTCCCTCTGTCAGGCGTCCCCTTGACCGCCCCTCTCTCTGCATCAGAGCCTGAAGAGGTGCTGAGTGAACACACTAAACAGAAGCTCCTCATCGAGAAAAAATTTGGGACCATGACCACGAAGTAAGGAGACCTGCAGGGAGGGGAGGCCGTGGGTCTGAGGGGCGAGTGGTGGAGCCTGAGCAGTGGGCTGGCAGGGAAAGTAGGTTGCCCACCTCTGTGAGGCCCTGTGAGTCTCCAGGACCACAAATAGGACACAGACTAGCGCCTGTGCAGGAGGGCCCTACCCTTAAAGAGCTGTGCAGGGCCATGGAGGGCGGGTGGACTTCAGCCAGGGGGGGGGGGGGGGTGAGGAGGATGGGCCAGGAAACAGGCTGGTGGGTTTCTGTTGACTTGCGTGGTGAACTGGGGCAAGACAGCTGGGGGTTCGGGGCTGTGATTGTGGCTGGGAGATTTCGGCACAGACTCCTGCTGCCTGGCTCTCGGGCCTGGCTCCCAGAGAGCCTTCTCTCTGAAAACTGGGCCTCACCCCCCTCATCCGGACTGGCTCCAAAGCAGCGGACAAGGCGCCTGCCTCCGGGCACCCTCCCGGCTCTCCTCAGCCACCAACACAGGCCAAGTCCCAAAGGCCTTCTGTGACCCAGCCTTTGCCAACCTTGTTCGCAGTCATTGCAGCCACTACCACCCCCTGGCATCCTTGCTTCGCCCACACTGTTTCCCAAGCATAGCACATACTTCTCCACCTCCGGGCCTTTGCCCCATCGTTCTCTCTCCTTGGAATGTTCTCTGGCTGCCAATGCCAGGCTCAGGTGACCAGGGGCTGGGAGAGCTGAGTTCCAGTCCTGCGCACTTCACCTCCTGGCCCCAGGCTACCCTCCACGCTCCAGCTCCTGGGCCCTTTTCTTTCTTCCTCTGATTTTGAAACCCTACGAGGGCTCCTGCCTCCCTGAAGATGAGGCCTGGGCACCTTGCTTTGACCTTTCCTGGGTGTGTCCACCTCCAGTCCATCCATTCCCTACCCCCCTCCCTGCGGCCTGCCCCCGCCCCCCAGTCTACGCCCTGCTGTTCTGGAAAAGGGAACCGGGGCCTGACTGAGCCTGGCAAACCATCACATCTTTCCGACCCAGCTCAGTGGCACTCCCTCCGTAAGCCCGTCCTCACCCCCACGGGCCGTGCCCTGTGTCAGGTGCATGGGGTACACACACCAGGTTTGCTTTTCTGGCTCTGCCACAGACTGCGCTTTTGCAGGCAGGGGCTGTTCTTGTTTGTTTCTGTGTTCCTGGAGTACCTTGTAGTGTAATTGATTTCCGTGTGATTTTGCCTGTGGATTTGTTAGACAGGCGGGCGCTGAAGGCGTTATGAATGGGCAGTAGGGTAGGTGAATGGGTGGGGGGTTAGGTGGATGACTGACTGCACAGCATGGTGAAGGGGTGGGTTGGGTTCAGGGCAGAGCAGGTGGATGGAGGGATAGGTCAGTGAGTGAAAGGGGGGGCAGTGATCGGATGGCAAGTGGATGGCTAGGCAGATGGGAGGCGGGATGGAGGGATGGAGGGATGAAGGGATGGAGGGATGGAGGGATGGAGGGTTGGAAGGGTACACAATTAATACCCTCTGTGGTACAGGCAGACTGGGATGGGGGGCAAGGCAGAAAAGTTGTGGCCATGCTGGAAGTGGAGGTCTAGAGTTCTGTGTGTGTGTAAGGGGGTGGGGCAGGCAAGAAGAGCCATCTGGCCTAGCTAGTGTGGCTCAATGGTTGGGCATCGACCTATAAACCGGGAGGTCACGATTCGATTCCCAGTCAGGGCACATGCTCAGGTTGCTGGCTCGGTCTCTAGTAGGGGGTGTGCAGGAGGCAGCCAATCAATGATTCTCTCCCATCATTGATGTTCTATCTCTCTCTCTCTCCCTCTCCCTTCCTCTCTGAAATCAATAAAAGATATAAAATAAACAAGAAGAGCCATCTGGGGGTCTCTGGGGGCCAGAGGCCCAGCCAGGCAGGTTGGCCGGGACTCACCGCTGCCCCCCACTCTCCTAGGCAACAGGAGCTCCTGTTCCATTTCCTGCAACTGGCCACAGGGGTAGAGCATTATCAGCAGAAGTTCCGTTCCCAGGCATCCGTCATTGATGAGATCGTGGACACTGCGTTTGAGGTGAATCAGGCAGGACCAGAAGGGAGGGGCCGGGGGTGAGGTGATGCTGGAAGGCCAGACGGGGGGACTGTGCCCAGAAGTAGCCCTGAGTGACAGTCCCATGGGCGTTGGAAAAGGCAGAGGCTGGCGGCTCAGCCACCCTCCCATCCCACCCCGCAGGCTGGCGAAGAGGACTTCAGGAAGTGATCCCGGGACAGGGACAGCGGACACAGACTGCAGCCTCTGGCCAGCTGCCCACGGGGTGGGTGGGACAAGTCCCAGACCTGCTGCAATGATTGTCGAGGCCTGCAGAGCTGGACCGCAACAGAGTTTTAAAACCCCAGCAGGCTCTGTGTCCTCACTGTGTCCTCATGGGCACGAGACAGCAGAACGGTGTGTTTGCACGTGAGTGTGCACACCCAAGTGTGTGCGTGCGTGTTGCATGCGAAAGGTGCTGTTCGTGGTCTCCTCCAGCCCCGCCAGGGCCTGGCATCCTAGCTCAGCCCAGCAGTGTATTGGCAGCAGCCAGCGGGGTGACCTAGAAAGCGGGCCAGGCTCAGTGCTGGAGGGAGAGTGGGCGCTCTGCCTCCGGGAGGAAGGCCTTTCTGGCCCAGGAGTCAGGAGAGAAAAAACAAGCTGGAATAGCCCTCTGCTGTCAGGGCATGGGGGACCAGTAGGCTCCGGAAACAGGGGCTCCGAGCTCAGGAATCGAAGGCCACCGGCACCTTTAGCGTCCGTTAGGAGGGTATCATGAACCCAGAGGTCCCCACGCGCTTGGGCCGGCGCTGGGTGCTGGAGACCTAGCACTGAGTTGAGCACAAGCCCCACCCTGGCTCTTCCACTATCTACAACTCCCCCCTCCTCTCCACTATCTTCACCCCCTAAGCACAGTGAAGCCATCATGCAGTACAGGCGGAGGGTGTCAGGGGTGGGACTCCAGAGGCGAGGCTGAGGGTGACAGACAGCTCTGCCAACCAAACCTGTGCCTCTAAGCTGGGCGTGAGCGTGGCGAAGCTCCAGGCCCCTGGACAGAGGAAGCATCTCCCCTCTCGGCCTGGCCGAGGGCGGGGCTGGCTCAGGGCCCAGGAAGAGGCTGCGCAGGGGAAGTGCCATCTGGGATTTGCGCACAGATTCCGGGGATGGGGAGGCCACCGGGCAGATAGCTCCAGGCCTTGCCTCACTCCACCACCTCCCACATTCATTCAACAAGCATTTCCTGCCGCCTGCCCTGGGCCAGCCCCATGCCGGAAGCTCCTGCTTGGCGACACGTGGGAGACCCTCCAGCAGCAGCCCCACCACATGGCCCTGGGCTGTCGGAGCTGCCGCGTGTGACAGGCTGGAGCAGCTGCAGGACGGAGTTTCTCCGGCATCCCTAACGCCTGTCAAACCCAGCCCTCAGCGCCTCAGCCTTCCATGTGGGAGTCACGTCTACATACCACCTCCTCTACCACCTCCTCGTCCCCACCTCTGAGACAGAGGGCAGGGCCTGGGAGCTGGGACAGTTCCTCACTAGGTCCCAGCATTGGGCAGGGGACCAGGCAGGCACAGCCGGTGTGAGCCCTGGCCTGCAGGGGGCGCGCTCCACAGCCACTGCATTCCGTCCTGCCTGGGCCCGATGGTGCCCACACTAGTGCTCCCAAGGGACCCGGTCACTGCCCGTCCTGTCCCGGGTGTGGGTGTTGGACAGCTCTGGGTTGGAGTGTGAGGGTCTCTGAGGTTATGTGTGTGGGGGTCCGTGTGTACATCTCCGGGTGGTTTCTGGGTGGGAGCGCTCCTGGGTTGCCCGGCGGTTCGTGGTTTTCTGGATGTGTGTGTGGTGTGTCCAGGAACATCCGAGGGTGCGTTTTGGGTTTCTCTGTCCGGTGTGCTAAGAGTTCTGGTGTGTGTGTGTGTGTGTGTGTGTGTGTGTGAAGTATGACTTGTAGCTGCAAATTCAGGTGTGCATGAAATATTGCAACTCCGTTTGCTCTAAACAGTATCCGCCCCTCTTCCCTCCTGGAGGCAGATTTCACCTCAGCCCCTTGGAGGTCCTTGTCCAGCCCCTTCCCGGAATCCTGCTCAGGGAAAGCACAATGTGTACCCGAGAGTCCCTGTCCCAGCCCTCCCGGTCTCTCGGCCTGCAGGGGCTCAGCTGTCTCTGGGCCACACGTGGGTAGAGAAATCTCACAGCCTGGGAGCTCAGAGTCCTGGGGCCCTGCTGGCTGCCCCGCCCCCCCCCCCGCCCCCGTCCCCATGCCACCCAGGGGGCTGAGAGGGAGGAGTTCTCAGGTGCTCTGCAGAGTACTCATCGACTCCCCTTTCCTCTCGGAGGCACCATCCCTCTCCTGTGACTCTGTCTCCGCTGCCTTAACTCTGAGAACACTGAGACCCTGGAGCTTTGCTCCTCTACGTCGGTGATGCTGGGTGTTTGGAGGACCCCAGATTTGGAGCTAACCCTGTACCCCTCGGCACTGTCTGGGCTGGGACAGCAGCTCAGCTGGGGGGGGGGGGGCGGGGTGCTCCCAGGAGTGGGAGTGGAAGACGGGGGAGAGGGAGGAGTGAAGCACTCAGAAGAGATCGATGCAAGAAGCAGTGTTAGCGATTTATTGCAGCAGACATGGCCCATGGACCTGAAGCGCCCTCCACCGATGGCCCCGCTCCCGTGGCCGCAGGGGCCTCCTACACGGGCACGCAGTGGTGCTTGAGGAGGCTGGAGGAGTTCTCCCAGGGGACCACTAGGATCTCAAAGTCGCAGCGCAGCTTCTGCAGACAGAGTGTGGGGGGAGAGGGAGGTGAGCCTGGCCCAGGCCTGCCTCCTCCCGCAGTCAGTGCTGGCCCACCATGAGGGGCAGTCACTGGCCCAAGAGACAACAAAGCTAGGTCCCAGATCTTCCCAGTCAACTCTCCAGGGGGAACCCCCATCTCCTCTGCACCCCACCCTGACCTGGCGCTGAGTCACCCAGAAGGCAGGGACGGGTTCAGCCTGACATCAGTCTGGCCGGCCAGACCAGTTCAAGCTGGACAACCTGAGGGCCCGGGTGCCGGTGGGCAGGGCCCAGTGCAGGGCTCTTACCTCCTCCTGTGCCCCTGCGGCCAGGGGGCAGGTGGTGAGGTCCATGCGGTCTCCGGTCACCGAGCTCTTGCGGCAGGCTGTGCTCCCCATCTCCACGGTCAGGTAGTACTTAATGCCCGCCACCAGCTGGGACGGAGGGCAGGGGCAGGTCAGGGTGCTGGGACACTCCCTCTCGCCTCTCTCACCGCCTCCCATCTCCCATACCCTTCCCCTGGGCACCAGCACACTGGCCTGGGGATTCAGACCTGGGGCAGGAGCATCCCGGAGGAGGTCCCCGGCGGAGAGGCAGAGGCCCCCACCAGGCAGGAGGCTGCCCGAGCGCACACCATCCTGAAGCCCACTGCCTCGTCTCCCCCACCTCCCTTCCCAATTAGCTGGGCAGGAAAGGGACTGGTGAGAAGCTGGTGAGGTAGCTGAGCAAGGTCAGGGGTAGATTCTATTTGAAATTTAGATATTTGGTTCATTGTGAAATTTTGGCGTTAATTCAATTTTTAAAATATATTGGTGAACTATCCTGATTACTCTTGTGACTCCTCCTCAATCTGGCGCCCGGCTGGGCGCCCCACTCGCTCTGCCCCGCCAGCCCTGACGCACCTGACTCTGCGCCTTGAGGATGCGCGTGTCTCGGAAGTAGTAGAGGCTGTTGCTGCCCATGTTGTAGCTGGCCACGGCCGCCTGGGCCGCCTTCTGCACCTGTGGGTCGTTGGGCTTCAGGTCCGTCACTCCTCCTACCATGCGCTCCCCGGGCCGGGCGCGGGCATCGCGGGGCAGCGCCAGCAGACAGAAGGCGAGCAGGGCCAGGCCCAGCGCCAGCGAGAGGTTGGGCTGCGCCATCGTCCTCAATGCCTGACCCAGGTGGCTCCGCCGCTTTTACGGGCTCCGGTTCTCCCAGGCTCCGCCCGACCACACCCGGCCCCGCCCCTCGGCGCGGTGCGCCCCCGCTTGGGGAGGGGGAGGGATCGCTGGGGCTGGGACCTCTGGCCAGGCCCCCTTCCAGCACCAGCAGGAGCAGCAGACAGGCCCCAGCACACCTGTGTACCCCACGCTTGCCCCGCCCTGCAGGGCACACCCAGTCCTGGGAGGGAAGGGACAGTGGCAGCCCCCAGCAAGGGCCACCATCCGGACAGTTCACAGGAGGCCCACCCAGTGTGAAATACCAACAGCCGCTATGAGCAAGCTCTCACTCTCACCATTTACTAACTGTAACCTTGGACCTCTCGCTGCGTGGGTATCCTCCTCTGGAAAAGGGGTGCTGTGAGGGTTCCGTAGGTAAAGTGCGTGGAGAGGCCTGGCACTATGTTAATGAGTAGCAGGTAAGTAGGGGCCTTGCTGGGCTGCGCTGCGTGCTGTATGGCCCTCACAACCAGCATGAAGTGGGATCCACATGTCCACTTAACAGGAGACAGGAGGCAGGAGGCAACCGACTTGCGCAAGGACCCCAGCGGGTGAATAACAAATGGTGATGCTGGCTTTTGACCCCCAGCAAGCTGTCGAATCTTTGTTCTTAAGCCAAACTGAGACCAAAGGATGAGAACTGCCAGGAGGGGTGTATGTCATACCAGCTCTGCCAGTGACTAACTGGGTGACTTTTGACAAGTCCCTGGAGCTCTGAGAGCCTGAGTCCTCATCTTAAGAAAGGGGACAATTATCTTCTAAGGCTATTCTATTAATGGCCTCAGGCCGGGTCACCCATAGGCAAGCTGAGCGTGTGCTGGAGGTGCCAGCACAACCGGGCACTGTAACTCTTGGGAGGAGTAATCTGATAATGCATAAAAAACACTGACGCGACCATGGGAGAAGTCTGGATTTTGTTGAGATTCTTCCTCTGTATTACAGCAATCAGTACGGTCTGTGCATTGCTGGGGAGAAGCAGGCCTTTTGCCCTTAGGACACTAAGATTTGGTCAGTGCTTAGGGTCCAGGATCTTAACTGAGTCTTGGAAGAGATAGTATGTGACAAACAGTTGGTGCTTAATAAGTGGTAATTAGAGTTGGCCCTTGAATGACTTGGGTTTGAACTGCATGAGTCCACTTACACATGGATATTTTTCAATAAATACTGTAAATGTATTTTCTCTTATGATTTTCTTAACATGTTTTCTCAGGGAAATTTCTCAAGTGTAAGAATATAGCAATATATATATATATATATATAACAAAATATGTGTTAATGGAGTGTTTATGTTAATGGCTTCTGGTCAATAGTGAGCTATTATTTGGGAAAGTCAAAGTCATATTCTTTTTTTAAAAAATCTTTTTTTTTTTTTAATATATTTTATTGATTTTTTACATAGAGGAAGGGAGAGAGATAGAGAGTTAGAAACGTCGATGAGAGAGAAACATCGATCAGCTGCCTCCTGCACATCTCCTACTGGGGATGTGCCCGCAACCCAGGTACATGCCCTTGACCGGAATCAAACCCGGGACCCTTCAGTCTGCAAGCCGACGCTCTATCCACTGAGCCAAACCGGTTTTGGCTAAAAAATCTTTATTGTTGGAAGTATTATATAGGTCCTCCTTTTCCCCCCATTAACCTCTTCCAGCCCACCCCATCCCCCCTTCAAAGGCCTCACCACCCCACAGTCTGTGTCTCTGGGTGATGCATATATGCATACAAGGTCCTTGGTTGATCTCTTCCCACCCACCCTCCCCTTCTTCCCCCTGAGGTTCAACAGTCTGTTCATGTTTCTATGTCTCTGGGTCTATTTTTGATCATCAGTTTATTTGGTTCATTAGATTCCACATAAGAGTGAGATCAGCCCTAACCAGTTTGGCTCAGTGGATAGAGCATCGGCCTGCGATCTGAAAGGTCCCACGTTCGATTCTGGTCAAGGGCATGTACCTTGGTTGCGGGCACATCCCAAGTAGGGAGTGTGCAGAAGGCAGCTGATCGATGTTTCTAACTCAGGGGTGGGCAAACTTCTTGACTCAAGGGCCACAATGGGTTCTTAAACTGGACCGGAGGGCCGGAACAAAAGCATGGATGGAGTGTTTGTGTGAACTAATATAAATTAAAAGTAAACATCATTACATAAAAGGGTACGGTCTTTTTTTTTTTAGTTTTATTCATTTCAAACGGGCCGGATCCAGCCCGCGGGCCGTAGTTTGCCCACGGCTGTTCTAACTCTATCCCTCTCCCTTCCTCTCTGTAAAATATCAATAAAATATATATATATATTTTTTTAAAGAGTGAGATCATGTGATACATATCTTTCTCCGACTGGCTCATTTCGCTCAGCATAACACTCTCCAGGTCCATCCATGCTGTTGCAAATGGTAAGAGTTTTCTTTTTTATTGCCACATAGTATCCCATGGTGTAGATGCACTCATCTGCTGATGGGCACTTAGGCAGTTCCCAAATCTTAGCTATTGTAAATTGCGCTGCTATGAACATGGGGGTGCATATATCCTTTCTGTAGAGATAGATTTTTAACGGGGGATTGTCACTGTTCCTAACCCCAGCTTGTTCAAGGGTCAAGTGTACTGTGAGGAATGAGTCAGCACCCAGCATTCCCCAGGACCAGTGTGGTCACTGCCCAGTCCAGCTGCTACCCCACCCCCTCAGCCCAGGTGTGAAAACAATCTTGGGATTCCAAGGAGCTGTCTCAAGTTTGTTGTGGGCTCAGGTGTCTGCCTTAAAGAGACAGACCGAAGTTTGTGGGAAAGCTGGCTGGCTTGATGAGGAGGCCAAGGCCAGGCAGGAACCTGACCTGAGAGAAGCCGGGAGGGGGGAGAGTAAACACAGGACAGCAACACAGGGAGATGGAGGAGAGGCAGCCCCAAGGGGCCAGGAGCCTTCTCAGGCTCTGGCAGGTCTGCTCTCCTGTTACATCAGGTTCAGCCATGACCACGCTTACCCCCAACAGCTCCCTGGAGCATCAGCCAAGGCCCAGTCCCCAGCTCACTTGCCCCTACCTTACCTGTCACTCACTCCTCCGATGCACCCCCAACCTAACAATGGCCAGGCCTTTCACCCACTGGGCTGTTCTCACAGCCGCAAAGCAATAAGCATCACCCCCATTCTGCAGACGAAGACAGTTAATCCGGGGTCAGGACACCTGTTTAAGGTCAGGCAGCTACCCGCAGCGTAATCATGTTGCTGGGGGGAAGCAGGCCTTTTGCCTTAGGACACTAAGATCTGGTCAGTGCTTAGGGCCAAGGATCTTAATTGGGGCTTGGAAGAGGTAGTGGGGGAAAGGATGGGGGAAGAGAAGTTAACAACTACTGGGTCCTCGCTACGTGCCAGGGACTCTTGTTCATTCATCGTAACAGTTCTGCAGAGGCAGTGAATATGTCCTCTTTCTAGAAGGAAGAAATGGGGGGTCAGGGGGGAGGGTCAGTGGTGGAGTCTGGGGTGCCACCTGTGTCAGCATCCGCGAGTGAATCCTGGATGGCTCCACCAGAATATGAGGTCTACTGTGCAGGGGAGCACCCCTGGAGGTGGGGTACCCGGGAGAAGAGCCCGGAGCCTGGACTCCACCCTGTCTGGACCACTCTGGCTTCCAGAAGGGGCCTGAGCCAGGTGTGAGCTTGGTCGGGGTTGGCCATCCCCACTGGCCGCAGGGCACAGCCTCCAGTTTTGCAGTGGCCCAGACATCCCAATCGCGGCTGCCCGTGGCACCACTCTCTCACCCCTAGACAGTGGGTCTCACTGCCCAGGATGGACCCTTGCCATTCCCTTCACCCTGGGATCAGGCCTGCATTCTGTGCCCCAAACCCTCATTGAACCCTCACCCTTTATTCTCCCCTCCCCAGGGCTCTGCTCCCCTTTCCCTGTCGGACCGCATCCTGGAAAGGATCCCACGGCAGGAAAGCTGTGAGCCAACAGCGATTAAACTCCCCTGGTGCAGGGGCTTCCATCCATTGGCTGGTTGAACCGTCACCGTCCTGCGCAGCTGAGGGGAGGCGAGCTCAGGGCAGCAAGGCACCTCGCTGCAGGCCACACAGCAGACAGGGGAGGAACCGAGACCAGAACTGGGCCCACCCGGCTCCTTCAGGCACCACCAGTCAAGGTGAGGAGTAACAGTGGACAGAGCCCTGGGTCCCTGCAGGGAGGCGGCGATGTGGAAGGGGGTGGACAGTGGAGAACACACACTGTGAGCTTTTCACACTCTCGGGGCTGCCACCGGGCAGATGTCTTGGGCTTGGGTTCATCCTGTAGCCCCCCCGTTTCCTTTCCAGGGCCAGCAGGATTCCTGCAGGACCCCAGCGTGCATGGTTGGGCCCAATCTGAGTCCTCAGGACTAGACTGGCTGAGGGGGTCAAGCTCTGGCTGGGTGCAGCTGCAGCAGGGGTGGCTGGGACAAAGTGTGAGTCAGCATTTGCTGACACCCAGGCCCACCCATGCTCGCCAACAAAGCACGTCCTGTTGGGCAATGTGGGCTGACATTTAGATAACCTGACTGCTACCCATCCCCACCTCGGCCTGTTTCCTCCAACAGCCCAGGCCTGGAGCCTTTTGTCACGCTGGCTGAGTTGGGGCTGGTTTCTGAAAGGCCAGTCCCAGCGTACGTTCTAGACGCCCTGTGTCTCCTGCTGCTCCAGGACCGACCCGGGAAGCTGTGTGGGAAGGGACCCAGATAAGGAGCGTGGGCCTTTCCCACCTGCCGCAGGTCCTGCCCAGCCCCAGGGAGAGGCGAGAGCAGGTTCCGGCCCCTCAGAGACAGAGCCTGTGGGCAAGGAGGGCAAGAGCCCACAAGGAAGCAGAAAGCAGCAGAGCAGCCGCACATCCCACTGGTTTCTGCTGAGGCCCCAGTGCCAGAGCCACGGGCGGCAAACCGGGCAGGCGGTGGTGAGGGAAGAGCCGGTCTCCATCACCGCAGAGGGCCAACGCTCTGGCAGGCTGGGCTGAGGCGGGGGAGGCTGTGGCCCTGCCGGGCGCTCCAGGCCCGTGTGGCAGCCTCACAGCACAAGGGTCGGGGGTCCCTGGACGCATCCAGGAAAACAGCAGAAACACAGCATGGCCTGGAACTCCTGGGCCAGCCCGCATGACCACCTCAGTCTGGGCTTCAGACTGGCACCCTCCCGAGTGGCCTGTAACACGAGCCGGGCCCTGCTCTGGCCTCCTGGTGACTTTCCAAGGGGCCACTCGGGCCCTGCTCTGGCCTCCTGGTGACTTTCCAAGGGGCCACTCGGGCCCTGCTCTGGCCTCCTGGTGACTTTCCAAGGGGCCACTCGGGCCCTGCTCTGGCCTCCTGGTGACTTTCCAAGGGGCCACTCGGGCCCTGCTCTGGCCTCCTGGTGACTTTCCAAGGGGCCACTCGGGCCCTGCTCTGGCCACCTGGTGACTTTCCAAGGGGCCACTCGGGCCCTGCTCTGGCCACCTGGTGACTTTCCAAGGGGCCACTCGCACTTCCCAGAGCCAGCCCTGCACCGAGCCCTCACCCCTACCAACCACCATAGCTTCCAACTACTCGCATAGTCGCTCTACCCCCGGGTCTGGATCTTTGTTCCCCTTTGCTTCTGCTATTCCGCGGTGCAGCTAACGCACAGAAAAGGACACAGAGCATATCTGCTCCCTTTAACAAATCGTTAGCCAATGCCGGTATTACCACCACAGGTCTGCAGTGGAACCTGCCACTCCCACCCCCAGGCTTCCTATTCATCACACCCACCTCCTCCCCCCAAAGGTGATCGCTGTTGATTTCTGCAATAAGTTTTTCTAGTTTTACCACCGAAGCAGAGATTCCCAAGCAAGAATTTACTTAACTTTACAAGAATGGAGTCGCATTACTGGATGTTTCCATTGTTTGCTTGGTTTTGAGATTCTACCCTTGGACACAGCGAGTTCATGTTCACTGGCACTGACAGCCATTAGCTGCTCCGTTGGGGGCTGTTAAACACAAAACTGCTGTCCAGGTTCCCAGAGGTGTGGGAGTCCCTGGTCATAGCCCCCGGGAGAGTTGGACCATAGGGTGGGTTTCCAGTTTTGCTAGAAAACTCTTGTCTTTCCCCAACTGTCTTTACATCCCCACCAGCTGGGTATCAGTTCCTGTTGTTCCATTCCCTCATCAGCCCTTGGTAATGTCTGACTTAAAAATTTTTGCTAATCCAGTTTAGCAAAATAGCATCTCACTTGTATTTCTGACTCCAAGTGTAAACACCTTTCCACGGGTTTATTCATCATGTGGGTATCCCTCAGGGCTGCCTTACAATATATTTTTATTGATTTCAGAGAGGAAGGGAGAGGGAGAGATAGAACATCAATGATGAGAATCATTGATGGGCTGCCTCCCGCAGGCCCCACTGGGGATCAAGCCTGCACCCCAGGCATGTGCCCTGACCGGGAATCCAACTGTGACCTCCTGGTTCCTAGGTTGGCGCTCAGCCCGAGCCACGCTGGCGGGCCATTTGCTTGTCTTCACTGCAGTTTAGTCTGTGCCCTGGGGAAAGCCCTTTCGTTTCCGTGCTGCAAATATCCTTTCCCACTTGGCTTCGTCTTGCCCTTCACTGTTTACAGTATTTTTAGATGAACAGTTTCTATTAATGGAGTTGACCAACTTTTACTTCTTAAATTTTCCCTGAGATCATGAAACTCTCTCATATTATCCATTTTAGTATTTAATATCTGTCCATCTCTCCTGACCAGACTGTAAGTCCTCTTGTGACAGCAGAGGGGGTAACATCTGGACTCCGTTTTGACAGAAAGAACTCACCTTAGAGGCCCATTACTCCTTGCTTTCAGTAAAATTCCATGGTTCAAATTAACCGAACCACACCCTTAAAGGAAAGACTGTACGATAAAATAGTGGGGTTTTCTTTTCTTTTTTTTGGGGGGGGGGGTTCCCTCCAGTTGTGCCAATGAGTTATATAACTCAGAGTATGTCTTCACACATTGCGCTTAAAATATTCATGGCTTACCCTAGCCGGTTTGGTTCAGTGGATAGAGTGTCGGCCTGTGGACTGAAGGGTCCCAGGTTCAATTCCGGTCTAGGGCACAAGCCCAGGTTGTGGGCTCGATCCCCAGTAGGGGGGATGTGCAGGAGGCAGCCTATCAGATTCTCTCTCATCACTGATGTTTCTCTCTCTCCCTCTCCCTTTCTGAAATCAATAAAAATATATTTTAAAAATATATACTCACGGCTTTTTTTTTTTTAATATTGCACTTTGACCCAGCAATCACACCATGAACCTCTGACACAGGCTGGGGCAGAAAACTCGGTTAGTATCAGTGCTATAACATCCTTTCTGAACATCACATCCTGCAAAATAATTGTTCTGTCAAATGGTAACTAGAATATCTGCATAAGCATTATTTTATAGGCCCTTTGAGTGGTCCACTGACCCCGAAAATACCTTGGAATCAACCGTTGCCAGGTGACAATGGTGGGACAAGTGCCTCACCCTCATCCCCCAGCCCTGCACCCACGCCAAGGCCCGACATTAGCCGTCCACAAGGACCCTCTGGGGCTCGACTCCTCTTTTCTGCTCAACTCACTCGTGCACAAGCTCTTTTCAATAAACTCCATCTGCTTGATCGTGCACTGAGTTCAGTGCTCATTCCGACGACATGAGACTCAGGAACCTGACAGTGACGCACTGAGGAAAATTCTGGAAGCAATAGTTTCTCCTGTTCTCCTGAAGGAGAAAGTCGAGCAGGGCTGGGTGCTGCACAGCTAGCATGCCTTCCGGTCATTACCACAATCTCCTTTTCCAAGTGGGGAAACTGAGGCTCAGAGAGGCTGAGTGACATGGCCAAGAAACACAGGGCTCTCTGGTACATGGGGGTCCAAATGGTTTTGAGGGCCAGTCTGGGTACTTCCTACCAGTACGTCCATGAACATATTAGTCTCTCTGAGCCCTGGTTTCCCCCGATCCGTGAAAGAGACAACAGCTACTTATTGTGGAAGAAAAAGTGGTTGGAAAAATCTGAGCTGTGGGTCCGGTTCAGTGTTCGAGAACAGGATGGAAGGGCACCAGCGTGTAACTCACAGCCCGCCCGCTCTGCGACCCGGGTCTTCGCCTCCCTGAGAGAGCAGGGCAGAGGGCGGAGCCCCGCCCACTCCTCCAGAGGCCAGGACGCCGTGATTAACCCGTGAACTTCTACCCGTATCGGCTCCCCCTCTTCCTAATACCTCTGACTCCCACTGACTTTTCCACCAGGTGCTGCCTAGCCCAGCTGTTGACTCAACCGACATCTGGAACACCACAGCCCATCTGGATCCAGGAAGGGAGCAGCCCACACGCTCCCACGTTACTGAGGGACTGAAACACCCCAAGGCACCTGTCCGAGGCTTGCGTGACGAGGGTGGCTGTCCTCTGGAGGAGGAAGCTGCCAGTTTCGATCTGCACTGATAAGAGGTACGCAGACCTGATCAGTCCCTGGGAAAGTGGCGACTTCCAGCCCACCTGCTTTCAAACCACACAGCCCAGTCTTGGAAGGCCACTGACTTTATTGATTTAAAAAACTTTATATGGACAGTGACTGTTTTGCCAAAAGAGAAGCCAAACGTCATTAAACAGACCAGGGGGAGGGTAGGGGCCAGAAATCCACTCAGCAAAGCTGATTATTGACCTGAAACTGGCAGGGGAAAGAGGAGGGAGATGCATGCAAGAGTGAGGATTCCAAAAAAGTTGAAATGGTGAGGGGAGAGAACTCCCCCGAGACCCGGACATCGGTGGTGAGCAGACAGCAATCGCTTCCTTGGTAGAGGACAAGGGAGTAGCCCCCACTCAGCTGCAAACTCTGAAGACTCAAGGCTGGCGTTAGGGACGGGGGGCTCCCCAGAGAGCATCACAAGAAGGCGTCACACCACTCTCGAAGGCACCCAAAGCAGTCCCGGGACTGCTTGGCATTGGCGCCACATGTGTCCTTTAGCCATTCCCGGAAGAGGTCTTCGTCTTTCTTCAGCACCAGAAACTGGCCAAGGACCACGTAAGCCTGCAAAACAGGCAACGCACAGGGCGAGCTGCTCAGTGATCCGTGAAACTCAATCAAACCCCAAGAGCCCAGGACAGTGGTCGGCAAACCGCGGCTGCGAGCCACACGCGGCTCTTTGGCCCCTTGAGTGTGGCTCTTCCACAGAATACCACGTGCGGGCGCCCACGTACAGTGCGATTGAGACTTCGTGGCCCACGCGCAGAAGCCGGTTTTCGGCCTGGGCGAGTCTATTTTGAAGAAGTGGCGTTAGAAGAAGTGGGGGCACGTTCGCTGAGGTCGACCCCTCAGATTGAGGACGTTTTTGGCAAAGGCCAGCTTGGGAGTACCCTAATGAAGTTAATGACAATGTACCCACCTATACAGTTTAAGTTTAAAAATTTGGCTCTCAAAACAAATTTCAGTCGCTGCACTGTTGACATTTGGCTCTGCGGACTAATGGGCTTGCCGACCGCTGGCCTAGGAGGAAGGGCAGGCTCCGGGTCCCCTCCGCAGATTCTACGCCACTGCCCACCCCTGCGGGCACCTCACTGTCCTCCCTCCCGCCCCACCCCCAGCCCGCCCTCTCCCAGGGGCGCGCAGCCTCCCACACCTTGTCAAAGCCCCTTTCCTCCAGCTTCTTGCCCAGGACTTCGCCGATCCCGGCCAGGCTCCCCACTGGCTTTTCCCCCATGGGCTCTGCCACGAAGTCTCGGTGCTTTTGGGAGGTTGTCATCTTGATCAGGATTAATCTGGGAATCCCAAGGAAAGGTAGGTTAGGGCTGAACACCCGGAGGCCGAGGGCCCACTGGCCCAGGTCTCCTATTAGGAGAACGTTCAGCCCTGACTGGTTTGGCTCAGTGGATAGAGCGTCGGCCTGCGGGCTGAAGGGTCCCGGGTTGGATTCCGGTCAGGGGCATGTACCTTGGCTGCGGGCACATCCCCAGTGGGGAGTGTGCAGGAGGCAGCTGATGGATGTTTCTAACTCTCTCTCTCCCTTCCTCTCTGTAAAAAATCAATAAAATATATTAAAAAAAAAAAGAGAGAGAGAGAACGTCCAGCCAGCCACACGGTGGCTTACTCGATTCCCCTCATTTCACGGGTAAGAAAACGGAGGTCCAAGAAGAGTCTTCCCCGTCTCCCACTCTTCGAGAGAGCGCCCCTCCCCTGCCTGCGGGAAGTGTTTGGTGACTCGCCCCAGAGGAAAGGCTATCCTGCCTATGAGGTGGCGCGCGCGGGGCCGCGGGACAGTCCCCCTTCAGCAGCCGGCTCGCCCCGAAGGTGTCACTCCCTCTGTGACCTTGGCTGGGAAATGAGGACACTGACTGACCGGAACGGCCACAGGGCACGAAAAGCACAGAAAGGGTCCCTCCGCGCCCCGCCGCCCGGCTGCTCACAGGCGCCGGCCGCAGCGCGCACCAGCTCCCGCCCCGCCGGGTGCACGCCTGGCCCCGCCGCGCCCGCCAGCCCCGCCCCCAGCGCGCCGCCCCGCCCCCTCCACGCGCCGCCGCACCCACGCGCCGCGTCCTGCCGCCAAGCCCTCTCCAAGGGCGCAGGCTCCAGCCGGCTGCACCGCTTGCGCCCCCTCCCCCCTCCTCCGTGCACCTCCTCTGTTTCCCAGGCTGGGCCCTGCTCCGCGGCTGGCGCTCACCGGCAGTTCCAGCTCCCGTAACGGCTCCTCCCGCCGCCGCCGGCTGCTCCCGCCGATACCTCAACCCACTAGAACTTTCTCCCACTTCCGCTTCCGGGTCGCCTCAAGAGCCGCCTAAAAAAATTAAATTTGGCACTTCTAGCTGCTTAGAGCCATAGAGTTGAGGCGCTCTGGACCTCCACTTCAACCTTAGTAGACGCTCCTTTTCGGTCGACTCGCGGGAAGCCGGGCTGCCTTGTTTGATTTCTCTTCTCGGGCAGCATTTCCGGTCTCAGAGAAGAGGCCTCGGTGAAGAAAACTTTTTTTCCCCCGCTGCACGGCATCCGGAACTCAAGGACCCAGCGTTGGCCCACTTGGCGGCAGGAAGAGTTAGAGGGACGGACAAGAAAGGAGGAGGGTGGCCGGAGGCCTACGGCAGAGCGCCGGAAGTACTGCTCTTGGAAGGGTCCGACTCAGGCCGAACCGTGTCGGGCTTTTAGGAGTCGGGCAGGAACCGGAGACGTTGAAGACCTGAGTCCTAGCAAACTCCGCCGTCTAGCGCACCGGCAGGTTCATTTTCTGTGCTTTCATCGGCTCAGCCGCGAAGTGAGTCGTGGACCAGCCACTCCCTGCGTCCAGCCTCGAGAACGAACGGGATCGTCCCAGCGGCGCCGTTGGGAGAAGAGGGCCAGCAGGTAGGCGTGGGTCTCTCTCGGCGTCTTTTCCTCCGGGATAGGGGAGGAAGGCAGAAAACAACCGGAAGTAGCACTTGGGAGTTTTCCTTGGTAAACCGCCGGTGTTGGCGGTGCCAGTCCTTGTCATCTCAGAACTCGTCAGAAAGATAGCAGGTGCCCTGGACCGAGACCGCTCCCCTCGCCCTTTGATGGCCTCGAGGCGCTCCTGGCTGGACCTTGGCGGCGCTGTCCTCTCTGGCCTCTGCCTGTATTGTGTTGAGGCGGCGAGCATCTGTGTTGTGTGGCTGAGCTGCACTGGGGTGCACACGCATATCGAGGACGATACCGCTTAGTTTATCTCTTCCCGAGCGATTGCCAGGATGATTTATTTAGTTTTTATGTTATGCCAGTACTTAAGATAACATGAGTTATTTTTATGTGCCATACGCTGTTCTGAGTCCTTTGCTTACATCCTCTCATCCTAATAAATGTTCTGGGTTAGCTGTTATTTTTCTCGGAGGCCTAGAGAATTGAACAGTAAGGATTGTCAACCTGAAAACTTCCAAACCTGTGGAGAATTTTTTTTTTAATCTTTTTTAAAAAATATATTTTATTGATTTTTTACAGAGAGGAAGGGAAAGGGATAGAGAGTTAGAAACATCGATGAGAGAGAAACATCGATCAGCTGCCTCCTGCACACCCCCCACTGGGGATGTGCCCGCAACCCAGGTACATGCCCTTGACCGGAATCGAACCTGGGACCCTTGAGTCCGCAGGCCGACGCTCTGTCCACTGAGCCAAACGGGTTAGGGCAAAAACCTGTGGAGAATTTTTATAAGCATTTATTTGAGCCAAACTGACAGCAGATGCCAGGGAGCAAGATCTTAAACCCTCTGGAAGTTAATAGGTTTGCAGTTTCACTTATAAATTTGAACTTAAGGATGAAGCTAAGGAAGATTACAAAAGGGTGGGAGAAAGCAAGGTGGGGATTGGGTTACAGGATCGTTAATGAGATTATATGCTCTCTTGAGGGTCAGGACTTAAAAACCTTCCGTTAAAGAAGTTATAGGCCTGGGCCCTGGCCGGGTAGTTCATTTGGTTACAGCGCCGTTCGGACACACCAAGAGAGTGGGTTTGATCTCCAGTCAGGGCACATGCAAGAGGCAACCGATGAACACACAGCTAAGTGGAACAACAAATCGACATTTATCTCTTCCTTCTCTCTCTAAAATTAAAAAAAGTTACAGGCTTGGGGCGTGACTACCCACCATGACCTGCCCAGTTAGGAATTTATTTTTATTTTTATTTTTAAACATATTTTATTGATTTTTTACAGAGAGGAAGGGAGAGAGATAGAGAGTTAGAAACATCAATGAAAGAGAAACATTGATCAGCTGCCTCCTGCACATCTCCCACTGGGGATGTGCCCGCAACCCAGGTCCATGCCCTTGACCGGAATTGAACCTGGGACCCCTCAGTCCGCAGGCCGATGCTCTATCCGCTGAGCCAAACCGGTTTCGGCCAGTTAGGAATTTATTATCAGATCACCTTGTGAGGTCACTTTCCATACAACCCCCTTTTTTTTTGTTCACAGGAAATAGTCAAACTAAGATTTCAATCCACGCAATTAGATTTTAGAGCCACGTTCTTAACCAGGACACAGCCACTCCTCAGTAAAAGGTCCCAGCCCATCTTCAAAACAGTCCTGGGTTCTGATCCTGCCATCCGAGGAACTCAGGAGAGGGGGACAGCCGCTGCCTCTCACCACCCTGGCACAGGACCGGCATGTCTCAGGCCACCAAGAGGAAGCATGTGGTGAAGGAGGTGCTGGGGGAGCATATGGTGCCCTCTGACCACCAGCAGATCGTGAAGGTGAGTAGCATTGGGCATAAGCTGCTCTGCCCCGACCCCTCCACTCCTGTTGGAGCCCTGGGGTGGGGGAGAGGGCAGCCAGCTCAGTGGGTCTGTGAGGTGGCTGATGAGGCCAACTGGTTCTCGGTCTCCCGGACCAGGTACTCAGGACCCCAGGGAACAATCTGCATGAAGTGGAGACAGCCCAGGGGCAGCGCTTCCTGGTAAGCATGCCCTCCAAATACCGCAAGAACATCTGGATCAAGAGAGGTGAGAGGGGCAGCTCTCTAGGAGCTAGAACCATTTCCTGCGGCCTTGGCTTTCGCCACTGCAAGCTGGACTGTCTGGCCTCTCCTCTCTGCCTACAGGGGACTTTCTCATCGTTGACCCTATTGAAGAGGGAGAAAAGGTGAAGGCTGAGATCTCCTTCGTGCTCTGCAAAGACCATGTGCGCTCTCTGCAGAAGGATGGGCTCTGGTAGGTGGTCCCCTGGGTCATTGGCTGCAAGATTTCCGGGAGGGATTGACTTAGCTGTGAAATTAGGGGCGGAAAGATCATAGCATCCCAGGCAGGGACAGCTGGAAACAGCTTTTATGCTGAGAGATTTCTCTGTTCTTTCTGACCCTGGCTTTTCTCCTGATACAGGCCTGAGGCCTTTGAGGTGGCTGAGAAACACAATAACAACAGGAACAGGTGAGGTTCAAGCCTTAGGGTCGAGAAGACAGGAAAGGGGGTTCAAGCTCTAGTGCCTTGGGGAAATAGAGCCTGTCTTTCTCCCTGGTGAGAGCGCCTCAATATGTGACTCTGTGTGTGGGTAAATTCCGTGGGTGAAAATCCTGGCTTTGCCACGTGAATTGGGGACTGTGCACAGGTTACTTCATCTCTTAAGCCTGCATTTCCTCCCCTGTGAAATAGCAGCCTTGTGGGGATTAAAGGAGCGAATGCTCATAAAATTTGCTTAGTATAGTATTTGTATGCAGTGTGGGTCCATTGCATGTTGGTAAGTAGAACCCTTATTATTAAAACCAGTGGCTCTAGTAAACTTTTGAGGGTGGGGCTGGGGGTTGTCTTTAACCTGTTTTCCTTGGCCAAGTTCTCCTGCTGTTTGCTCCGACTGCCTGTCTGACTTGCTGAGCCCTGACTACGTGGCCACAGGGTCCTCCTTTTTGTGGGGATTTTCGTTTGCAGATCTTGCTTTCCCAGAAGGCACTGGGCTAACTCTGTCCTTTTCCCCCATGAAGACCAACTCAGCCAGAACTCCCAGCTGAGCCGCAGTCATCGGGAGAAGAGTCCAGCTCCGAAGATGACTCTGACCTCTTTGTTAACACCAATCGTAGACAGTATCACGAGAGCGAGGAGGAGAGCGAGGAGGAGGAGACAGCCTGAGGCTGCAGGGCCCACTTTTCCCCCTCTGACCTTGGACACCTCCAGGGTGCTCTGCAGATCTTCCCCCCAGTGGGGACAAGGCAGGATCCTCTCTGAACTGACCTTCTGACCCAGGAGAATTAAACCCCTGGTGGGTGGTGACTTGTGCTAGTGTCCGAGTGGCTCTCTGGAGGGAGAAGGGACCTGTGGTACAGTTAAAAACTGCTCCTTGGTAGGTCTCATGGGCAGGAAATAGGGAATGGCTGGACATTTTGAATGAATTTAAATTGAGGGAGCTAAGGTTTCCTAGGCTCTCCCTCTCTCTCCTCTCTCCTCTCTCTCTCTCTCCGTCTCTCTCATTGGGCACTTAGTCAGTGGCGGGCCCTGTGCTGTCTCTCCTTGCATGTACTTGATAAGTGGGAACAGTCCCACTTTATTGCCTGCTCGCAGCCAATCCTGATTCAGGCTTTCAGGATCACAGCCATAGGACTAGTCCCCCGTTGCCTCTAAGAAACACTCAGGATGAATTTCATATACCTCGTGAGCTGATTTCCCTGCATTTCTAGTCACCATGCCTGCAGGAGTGCCCACCTCCCTGCTGCTGTGTGCATCCCCTGGTTGCTGGACCCTTGTGGCAACTTAGACCATCATTCCTCAGCCCTCTTGTAAAACACATCATCCCACTTATCTCTCTCTCTTTTTTTTTAACCTCTGGCTATACGTTACTCCTCATTGCTGGCGTTGACCTTGTAGTCTCTCCTCAGACTAGAAGAGTTTATCTCTTGGCTTAGAGTCTTTTACCTCTGCTTAGTCATTTTCTACATCCCATGGATGGGCCTGTTCAGCACTGTGGCTCTTTAGTTCCTTGATAATCCCCATTACTAATGCGGGTCTTCTATTCCAGGCCTGCTGCCTACATCTCTACTCCCTGGACCCCTGATATCAGTAGAAATTGTAGTACCTTTAGAAGTCAAATACCTGTACAATCACCGCCTTCTGGCTTACTTATTTACTTGCTCAACTACCCCTTCTGCAGAAATTCTTTATTTTTATCCTCCAGCTCCACCACATTCCCACCATTCTATCTCTGCTTTCCTCCTTCTGCAACTTGGATTCCATGGCCCACACCCTTCACTCCCTTGTCTTCCTTCATTGTATTCAGCTACTAAAACCTAACCCCAGCCAATCCAATCATTCACCTCTGTGCCTGTAACTATTAGAGAAAACCACCAACTGGGCTCACTTGTTTTACCTTAAATTTATAATTGTAAACCTCAAACAAACCCTCAGCACTGCCTAGCAGATCAACTCTGGGGTGCATTTTGAAACTTCTTATCTTGTCTACCTATTCCCTCTTCCCCTGCTAGTTACCACAGCTTATACTTCATTAAGAAAGAGTGGGCCACCCTGACTGGTGTGGCTCAGGTGGTTGGCGTGCCGTACACCAAAGGTGGTGGATTGAATTCTTGGTCAGGATACATACCCATGGGGCAGGTTTGATCCCCAGTCGGGGATTGAGGGAGCTAAGGTTTCCTCCCTCAATCCCAACTGATCCATGTTTCTCACATGGATGTTTCTTTCTCCCCTCTCTCTAAAAATCAATAAAACTATATGTATCTCTACATATAAAAGACTAAGCGACCATTCAACCAGCCATTAGGTATGACATGCACTGACCATCAGGGGGCAGACGCTCAACATAGGAACTGCCAGCTGTGGTGATTTGGCAGCAGCGGTTCTTGGGTGAAGTACCCGAGAAATACGTTAATAGCAATATTAACATATTTCTTCTAATTAATTTCCTTTCAATGTGCACAGATCTGTGCACCGGGCCACTAATACACACACACACACACATTTATTATTTATTTTTCTAAAGAAAATAAGAAATAGTAGGCCCTTGGTGAGAATTCACACCTCCCCTTTACCAACCCTACATTGTCTTCATGGATCTTCCTGTCTTTTTTCCTTTCCATTGTAATCCAATGGGACTTCAACCTTTCCACATGTATCTGCTCCTCTCCTCACTTTCTATTATGTTGCTTAGTCTAGCTTTAAATATATACACATATATATGTATTTGTGTGTATGTGTACATACAGATGTTTAAAATATATATAGAGAGAGAGCCCTAGATGGTTTGGCTCAGTGGATAGAGCATCAGTCTATAGGCTGAAGGGCCCAAGGTTCGATTCAAGTCAAGGGCACATGACTGAGTTGTGGGCTCGATCCCCAGTGTGGGGCATGCAGGAGGCAGCCAATCAATGATTCTCATCATTGATGTTTCTATCTCTCCCTCTCCCTTCTCAGAAATCAATAAAAATACGTTTTAAAAAAGAATGAAAAAATGTATATATACACACAAAGAGTAAACATCAGATGAGGTAGAGATGTGTATTAATTCGTTTGAAGTTTATTTTTTATGGGAGATAGCTAACTTTTTCCCCTAAAGTTGTGGCCACTTGTCCCTCTATCATGTATTGAATGGTTCATTCTTTCCTCATTGCTTTAGGATACCTTTTAAAATAAACTCTATTCCTGCATATATGTGGGTCTCCTTGGAATTTCTAATCTGCCATGTTTATCTGTGTACAGAACACATTCTGTAGCATGATTGATACAGCTCCCTCACCCCTGCCCCTGTTCCTGGAACATTTCATAGTTTCATGTCTTTTCTGACATAAGAACTTTAGAGTGGATTGTCAGTTTTCATTTCAAAGTCCTGTTGAGATTTTCATTGGCATGAATTTAAATCTCATAGTTTGATTTGGAGGAAAGTACTATCTTAAGACTTATGAATCTTCTTATCCAAAAATGAGGTTATGTTTGTCCTTTTGTAAAGTGTTATTTTCATGTGGGTCTCTAATGTTTCCGGTTCAGTTTAGTCTCAGGAATCTGAGAGTTATTTGTTGTTATGAATAGGTCTTTCAAAATTACATTTCTAACCGTCACTGGTGTGTAGGAAAGCTGTCCATCTTTGTGGGATCACCTAATCTAAATGAATTCTGATTCTCTTGCTGACAAAAGAGTAAAAATCTGCTAGAGGTAGGTTTACCTGATCCTTTATGCTCATTTCTGTTCTTGAATTGTAGAGGCCAGGACCTCCAGTATAATGTTGAGTGGCACCCTTATTTGTTCCTCTCTTAGCAGGAGTAGTTCTCGTGTTTTCTTGCTTTAGGTTTCTCACAGATAACCTTCATTAGGCTGAAGGTATCTCCTTCCGTTCTAGCTTACTGAGGGGTTTTTCTTCACTCAACACATCATGATGAATTTCTACATCTATTGAGATAATCAAAAGATTTTGTTTTATTGTATTGATTTTCATTAATAGATTCCCTAATATGGAACCATTCTCACATTCTGATGTAAACCCTGCTTGATTTTATAATATTTAGTTAGGATTTTTATATCTTTCAGGCAAATTTCACTTTTTTTAAATTTTATTTTTAGAGACAGGAAGGGAGAGGGAGAGAGAACATTGATATGAGAGGGAAACAGGGAAACATCGATCCACTGCCTCCTGCACACCCCCTACTGGGGATTGAGCCCACAGACCGGGCTTGTGCCCTGACCTGGAATAGAACCAGCGACATTTCAGTGCACAGGATGCCCAACCAACTGAGCGACACCAGCCAGGGCTCACCTTTTGTTTTAACGATCTGAGCTCCCTATCCCATTGGAGAACAGTTACGCTGGCATTTAGAACTGGTTTAGGAACATTTCACCTTTTTCTTCAGGTTTGAATTTGTAGAAAAGGAATTATTTGTTTCTTCAAAATTTGGTGAAATTTATTTATAAAAACATCTGCACTTAGGCATTCCATCCAAGTTTTCTATCCTGGAGTCAATTTTGATAACTTTTTTTAAAGAATCATTTTATGTATAGTTAAGGTTTGGGGAGGCAAAATGTCATGTGTAGTAATTGGCATAAGTGACAAAATCTCACTTGCGTTAGAATCAGACAAGCTCATTGGCCTGCGATCTGAGAGCGGAGCTTTAGGCAGAGCTGACCCAGGGCCAGCGTGGTTCCTCGGGGCTCTCATTGTTTCTCTGCTTCTCTGGTTGATGGGTCCCTTACTGCCTACAGGAGGCTCCCCTTTCCACTCAGTCCTTACAAAGAGTTCTTTCCTCGTGATTCATGTATTTCCAGAAAGAACAGTTGTCTTGCTCAGTCACCTGCCCTCTCTTGGGCAATCACTGTGGCCAGGGCTGAGGAGGGAGTTAGGGAGCTGAGGGGAGGCAAGATGAGCCACCCCTGATCCGTATGACATGTTTCCCATGGAATAGAGGTTGTCCCAGAAAAAGGGAAAGGAGGGAGAGCAAATCAGACCAGCAGGTATCCGTCCCGGTTTCTGTATTTTCTTTGACTAGCTTTGCAAATGCCTACTTTATTGGCCTCTTCCTGTTTCTTTGGGTTTATTTTCTGATTTCTATCTTCTGAGTTGTATGTTTTGCTAATTTAATTTTTTTTCTTTTTTTTAAAATATATTTAGATCTGTAAGTTTTCCTGTGACTGCTGCCCACTGTGTGTGATATTTTTGGCATTGTGTCTGTCAGCTTGGCCTTACGTTTTCTCCAGTTCTCAATGATTCTGTAACTCACCTAATAGACTCTTTTTTTCCTCTGAGACCTTTTCATGTCTACTTCTCCATCTATTAGCCACTTAGCTCCTGGGGATTGTAGCTCAGAATCTTGATGGAGGTAGAGTCCTTGTATTCTGCATGCTTCTCCCCTTTTCATTCTCTGAAGCTGAATTCCACCCGTTTCTCAACTCTGGTAGAATCCGACTGTGTGAATAGACCTTCCAGAATGAGCTGAGTGTTGTAAGGGCCCCCTTTCCCTCCCCAGTGCCATGGACAAGCCTCATGACTGGTCACCTCACAGTATTGACCCCTCCTGCAGTCAGGCTTGCGATTTGTGGCCCTCAGGCTCTGTACCTCTGTCCCTTTAGGACCAACCTTCTCAGCCAGGCTATTTCCACTATTTCTCCCCGCAGCCTGGCTCCCTTTCTCCCCGGTCATCCAGCCACCCATATACAAGGTGGGCAAAAGTAGATTTACAGTTATGAGTACACAGAAGTTTATTCTTGTATTATTATTTATTAATTGCATTGTTTTCCATACAAACAACTGTAAACTTACTTTTGCCCCATCTTGTATGTGTACCAAGGAGCACACTCGACAATCCAAGTTAACCACATGGGTTTTCTCCTTTAAATCTGAAAATGTGGTGACATCTGTGTGTGGGGGGGAGGGGGGGGGGGAGATACCTTGACACAGTTTCCCACATTAAAACATCCTTGCATTCCTGGAATAAGAATCATGACATTTTTTCAGTATGTTGCTGGATTTGTTTTTCTGATATTTGGGACACTTTTGCACTCAGGTTCCTAAGTGAGATGGCTTGAGCTTTTCCTTCCTGTGCTGCCCTTGTCTGGTTTTTATATTAAGGTTATGCAAACCTCCTAAGATAGACTATTCTCTATTATTTATTTTCATTACATGTGTTCATGTTAAGATTGGAAGTTTGCATTTCTTAAATTTTTGATAAAACTTTAAAACCAAAGTGCCTGATATTTTGGGGATGATGAGTAGATTTTTAACTCTAGGTTTTTATTAATAATAGATTGCTCTGTTCTTGAGTCAGTTATTTTTTCAAGGAAAAATATTTTTGTAGTTTCTCATTTTTTATTTGTGGTTTCAAATTTATTGACACAAAATTGTTTATAGAATCGCTTATGTTTATAGTCTTGACTGTACCCAGGTTATGTTTTCTTATTTACATGTAATATTATTTATTTGTTATTTCTCTCTTTTTTATCCTGTCAGCCTTGGCAGAAGTTTATTAGTCTACTAGTGCCCTGGTGCACGGATTTGTGCACATTGAAAGGAAATTCATTAGAAGGTGGCTGGCGGGGCGGGACTGGGTGACACAGGCCGGACATGCCCTGGAGCCAACCTCCTGCAGTCCCTCCCCTGGCTGGCCACACCTGGGGCCACGGCTTGAAGGTCGTCTGCGGTGTGAGTGGGGTCCCTCTGCCTGGCCTGCAGGGATCTGGCTGAAACCGGCTCTCCTACATCCCCTGAGGGGTTCCAGATTGTGAGAGGGTGGTTCTTGGATGACACCCCAAAATCGGGCTCCCTCCTCTCTGGTTCCAGGTGCACCTGAGAACCACAACTGCAGCTCGGCAGCTCCTGCGTTGAGCATCTGCCCCCTAGTGGTCATTGCACGTCATAGGTACCGGTTGGACTGTCACTTAGGCTTTTATATATATAGATTCCAAGTACCAAATTTTTGTTGCCATTCCTCTTTACTGTTAGCTTCCTCATATTTTTAAAATTCCTGCTCTTGCCGTATTTCCCCTATACTTATATTCTTTGGGTTTATTCTGTGGTTTTCTAACCTTTTTGGTAGGTTACTTAATTAGCTCATTAATTTTCAGCTTTACCTCCTTGCACACCCCAAACTAGAGGGAATTTTCAAACTTAAAGAAAAGATTAAAATTGTAAAATAAGTACCTGTAATACCCTTCATGAGGGCCCCTGTGAGGAGCCGGCACGACCATGGCATACTCAGCACCAGGGCACCTTATATGCCATGCCAGCTCAGCCTGGTTCAGTGACCCTGAGTGGGGGTGGTGAAAGGCTTAGAAAAGACAGACAAGAGAATGAGCTGGGTCTCGGTGGGACGCTGCCCCTCTGATGGACAGCGCCCGTGCCCACAAGCCGTCTCTTTATTTTATAGCAGATGCCACGAGGCAAAGTAGGGGAGTGATCAAGATGTTTACAACATTCTCGTGGGTTTCAATCCTACTCAACTACATGCACCTGAACTCTATCAAGACCACATCACTCAGGCATGTGGGGCCACATGTTCGGACCATAGGTTCAAGCTCACAACTCCAGCTGTTGGCTATCATTGTGCTGGGAAGGCTCTGCCCTCCAGCCGGGACTTGCACGTGGCAACGAGAGGACTGTGCCCTCTCCTCAGTCTAAGGCTTGAACCTGTCCAAAACTCTGTAACCGTGCCCCATAGGCCCCGATTTATAACATTTGCCATATTCATTTTTCTGTAAACACAACACACATAGCTTTTTGGGGGTTTTTGTTGGTTTTTTTTGGCTTAAACAACAGCAGTTTATTTTTTTCTAATTCTGAAGGCCAAGGCCTAAAGTCCAAGATCAAGGTGTCAATAGGTTTGGTTTATTCTGAGGCACAACGCACATAGTTTTAATTTAATCATTATATCTCTTTAGTCTCAATTTAGAACAGAAGACACCTTAATGTTTTCTGTTCTTTATAAAATGGACTCTTGGCAAGTTCAGGCCAGTTATGTTATAAAACTGTCCTGCGATTGGGTTTGTGTGATTGCTGTTGTGTGCTCAGATTTGGGTCCATTTTAGCAAACAGCCTAGAGCTGATGTGTGCTTATTGCAGCTCCCGAGGCGTGTGGTTTCCTCAGTAGGAACCACTGTCATCACTAATGTCACGGAAGTCAGGACACCAGCAGTGGCTCACGTTGGTACAAGACACGCCAAAGGCCCTGTGG